GTGTAGGGTTTAGGGTTTAAGGTGTTGGGTTTAGGGTTTAAGGTGTTACCGTTTAGGGTTTAGGACCCTGAGTTGAAGACGTCGTCGGTATCTTGAATGTAGAAGCCTGTATGATTATCAATAGTACCCTGACCCTCCCCCGTACCTACTATATAGGGTCGCCGAATCCTAACAGGAAGGACCCACCGGGTACTCCTCCGAAACATTAAAGCAGCAGAGTGAATCTTAAAACGCTGCCTAAACTACTCCGGCAGGCAGGCCACATATTTCGAGCCTCCGAGTAGTCCGCCACTCCGCAGGTGGTCTCAAGACAAGGATATTGGAAATCAAAGCTTTCGTCCTCCGGATGTATTGTTTGGTGCCTCGGGTTCATAAGTATACCCCGAAATACCCCGAAGTCCTATTCTAATTATTACAGCCCCTATATACTCCTCGTTCTCGATGCTGGCTTCGGTGTGTCCCATGTCGTGCGTGTCTGTGCAGGATAAGCTAAACAAGCCTGCACTGCGGACAAGCCTCGCGCTTGCATCCGTCACAACACTCTAGTCCACAATCCTAGCTTTGTTCTAGTGTGTATGCTCAGGTCTTGTGGTTCCATTGACATGAAATAGGGGCTTTAATTACCTATGCTATATTGGGGGTTCCTTATTAAATCATAGTATGATATACCCCAAAACACCATTCAAATTGTTAAGGCCCCTACATTCGAGGTTTGCCTGAAGTTTGGCGCGCCCTATCCAGGTGGCGATCAGCCTTCCTACGATGCAGATCTCCTTCTGGGTGATGAACTCTCCCTTGCGAAGGCCTGGCAATACATTAGTAAACCCTAAACACTGAACCGTAATAGTAATAATAAACCCTAAGCCCGAGACCCTAAACCCTAAACCTTAACAGTACTCGTAATAGCAAGAGTATCAGTACCCAGACCCCCGGGAGGATCTAAAAAGTAGATCCCCTAATTATCCCTAATTTGGGACCCTAACTATTAAAGGGTACTTTATAGGAAGCCCCTTAAGGGATCTCTTTTTTGGATCCTCCCGGAGGTCTGGGTAATAGTAATAGCTTTCGGGGCCTGGGGATCCTTCGTGGGCGCCGGTCTTTAGCAGTTGCCCTAAGGGTCCATGTACTTCTTTAGGGTTCCTTTAAGGGTTCCTTTAAAGGGATCTATAAGGGTTCTATAGGGTTTAGGGTTTAAGGGTCCATGTACTCAAATAGTATATACATTGGCCCTAAAGTACCTATATAGGGACTACATTAAGGCCAAAGTATACACTATTTGGGTACATGGACCCTTAGGGTTGGTTACAGGACGGCGGCATCGGTTTTTGGTTTTGGGCGCGTCGGGTCTTCTTGCAGAAGCCTGTAAAGCCGGTGTTCTCCGTATCATGCGTAGGGTTTAGGGTTTAGGGTTTAGGGGTTTAGTGTTTAGGGTTTAGGGGTTAGGGGTTTACGGGTTAGGGTTTAGGGGACCCTAACCTCCACCGCACCATGCCAAAGCCTAAGCTAACCACGCTGCGCACAAAGCCTTGGGATTGGCTGTCTGAGCAGTGAATTTGTTGCGGATTTCTTTGCACGGCCCTGTAGGGTTGTCTTGCGGATTTTATTCTCGCCGATTTTCCCGCGGATTTTCTTCCTTTTCAACCTCATTTCAGTCTCCCTCAAGAAAGACGCGCATAAATCCGCGCACGAATTCGCTCGCACCGTCGGCGCCAAAACATTAAAACAAATCCGTGCAAAACTTGCCCCGAAAGACCGCTTAAACCCTAAACCCTAAACCAGTACAAAAGGCGGATCTTCCCCAAGAAGGCCGCAGTAGAATCAGTAGAACTCACTGACAGTTTGGAGAATTCAGGACGAGAGATGAAACCCTGATTTACCCTGATAAGACTCCCTATAGGCCTCCTTGTCAACCCTATGTTAGGGTCTAGGGTTTAGGGTGTAGTACAACCCTGATACGAGCTCTATCAAAGAAAAAGAAGCCCTAACAGGCACGCCGGTTCTACGAGTATACGGCTGCGCATCCCTCTGATGCCCTGGACGACGACCTCTGCACTTTCGAAGAGTGGTGGATCCTAGACTCCAATATGTTTCCCTAAGGGTCCATTTACCCAAATAGGATTCCTTAAAGGGTCCCTTTTTAGGATTCCTTTAAAGGGATCTACAAGGGTTCTATAGGGTTTAGGCTTGTTAAGGGTCCATGTGCCTAAATAGTATATACTTTGGCCTTGTCATCCCTAAATAGGTACTTTGGGGCCAAGGTATATACTACGGGAGTACATGGACCCTTCCCTTGGGGTTTCGAGCCTTTGAGGAGTGTCAGGATCTATCGTTTAGGATTTGGGACCCCCAAAATATTAGGATTCATATAAAAGGGCCTTAATAAAGACCCGAGGTTTCTTAATCAGGTTCCCTAAACCCTAAACCCTAAACCCATATTACGTTCTGATCAGTTGAAGCAGATGGGTGTAGGACCTGGGATGTAGGGCTCAGGACTTGATGTATTTTTTTTTTTTTTTGGGGGGGGGGGGGTGCAGTCTGGGCTTTGGTCGTTTTGGGTGAGGCTATAGTGATTCAGGTTCAGGGTTTTGGGGTTTTTGGTTTTGGGAATCAAGGTTTAGGGACTCGGGGTTCGGATTTTGCATTCTAAGTATGTTTTCGGGGGGGTTTTCAGTTCACGATGCGAGAGCGAATAGCAGCGTTTCATCGGGATGCCGTGCCGTTGCGATCGGAATGATGTAAGCTGTGTTTTTGTGTTTCGCGCTCGCGCCGGGAGCTCTCCAGCCTAATTTTTCCCCCCAAACCCTAAACCCTAAACCCTAAACCCTAAACCCTAAACCCTAAACCCTAAACCCTAAACCCTAAACCCTACCCCTATGTTGTTGCATGGCACACTGGGTGAGTCAGAAGGCTGGGAGAGGTTCCCCATG